CAACCTTGAAGAAACTTGGTCTGGTCAAATTCGATGGTGATCAAACATTGCTGATCGAAGCTGCTTCAACTTAAAAAGTCCGACCAAAGCAACTTACTGTACTGGCCACGGCCGCAAAACTCTGCTTGGTCTGAGCTGCCAGAAACGACGGGTGATGGTGATCTGTGATGATGGCTGATTCGGCTGCCGACAACAAAAGATCAAACAAAGCTGCCCAGCGGGCCGCAAAGACGAAGGAGCCCATGGAGCGGCGCAAAATTTCAAAAAGCGGAACAAATGTGTCCGTGGGAGAACGCATCGGCTTCTGACAGGAAATCTCTCTGCCAAGAGTTGCTAGGTAACAACTGACATCCTTCGTCAAGTTGTTTCTTAACCTCCCTCTGAATGCACATGACAGACAGACCAATGAAGACGCCAGCTGGAAAGTGCATCCCGATTAGGGAGCACATAGAGCGCCTTTGCAGACTGGTCTCGGTGCAAACGACCCCACAACCTCACTCACCGTAACAGCTCTTTTGGCACTAAGCCTGCAGATCCCCAGCCTGACGACTGCGCTGGGTGTACTTCGCGGAATACCTACAGGCGTTGACTCGGTGTGATCTCATTTCCCGATGCATGTTTGCGAGCCTCTCGGACCGGCATGCAATCTCAGCTGGGTACTGATACCGAAACCTGGTGCCGGGGTTCGCTGTGCCCATGGAAGACCTTCAACAAGTTCTGGCAAGGACAGCTGCTCAAGACTCAGTTTTTGTAAAGAAGTCAGCCTGACCTATGCAGTTCGCGTGGCATCGTCATTTGAGGCTCATCTGCACAGTATGGCCCATGCCCTAAGGAACAACAGTTCCGTAGGTATTGCAGCGAAAGCAAAGGGGCACCAAGTCATCTCCAATGAGTGCAACTGTCAGCGTCGCCTTCCCTTCCCTTCGCAGGTCCTAAACAGTGAGCTTTTGGCAGTTGCCGCCTAGTGTGGTTCGGCGTGGAGGAGCGAAAAGCAGCTGTGAAGGGCATCTCTCCTGCCATTTGGGGGCTTTCATGTTGAGATTGTTTCGGCTTAGAGAAAGGGTTCTCCCGACTCGCCCAGGCTCACTTTCGAGCTGTTCAGACTCTAGACAGCCCGGGCAGCACCAGCAGCAGCACCAGCAGCAGCACCAGCAGCAGCACCAGCAGCAGCACCAGCAGCAGCACCAGCAGCAGCACCAGCAGCAGCACCAGCAGCAGCACCAGCAGCAGCACCAGCAGCAGCACCAGCAGCAGCACCAGCACCAGCACCACCAGCAGCAGCAGCAGCAGCAGCAGCAGCAGCAGCAGCAGCAGCAGCAGCAGCAGCAGCAGCAGCAGCAGCTCCAAAGCAAAAGGTGCAACAGCGATGAATTCAAGGTTTCGCTATACGAAATCGCCAGTGAGCACAACTGTCTCGATCAAATATCAAAAGGCCAAAGCGGCACGACAATATTTTTGGCTTCATTGATCACACTGGTCCCCCCATCTACGGTTTTTCTGGGAAGCGTTCGTGCGACTTCAAGCAGCATACGTAGTAAAACCTCGTCTGTCCACCGTTTTCTAAGGTATGCTCGCACCACCATTCGCTGTAGCTGCTCTGTATGGCAATTCCTGATTTTGGGTTGGGGGTAAGGGGGAGGTGGTTTGATCAAGTCCTCTGCCACTCACACGGGTCAGAACTACGTGTTGTGCAAGTCACACAGACCCTAGCTCGAACGATTTTTTTCATGTCGGCTTGGTTGTGCGTTGCACTTGCCGCATTGCTCCTCTGCAAACGGGTCTTTTATATTGATGGTCTGAATCTCAGAAGTGTCCCGGTTCAAAGGTGCATGCAGCCTCGAACTGTTTTTAAACCAGTGCTGGGGCACGGTCGCGAACTTGAAGCCCAAAACCCCTATGAAAAAACACATAACTCAGCAATGACAGGGCTGCCGACAAGCGCTCCGTCGCTGCAAACGGCGCAAAAAAAGGATGAGTTCCATGTTTTGTCCGGACCATGTCTGATGATTCAGGGCCAACGACTTGCACTTGGGTTTCGAGGCTTCGTAACTTTAGAAACACCCTTCTACGGCTAATCGCATGTTCAGCTGTTTCAGCTTTTATGTCACACCATTGGGCTAGAGTCTGAGAGCGCATTTCCTTGCCCCCCCCCCCCCCCCCCCCCCTTTCCGGACCTTCCGCTTGTGGAGGTGCACGTTTCACATCTGGGCAAGGCCTGGAGCAGCAAAACACGAAGCATTCATGCAGCTTTGCTGGTTCTCTTGTGGTTCGCGCGCTTCAGGTCTCCCAGACGGGAGCTGGAAAGTACCAACATGCACAGGCTGCACAGGAACGGCTCACCGGTTTCCCGGGTCACTGGCTGGGCAAGGTCGTATTCGAAGCGCTGCTTGGGTGAGTTCAAGACCTGCCAGGAGAAGTGAACGATGTTGTAGCCCTAAACCCCTTTGTCCCTTCCAGTCCTACAGCACCTTACTAAAACTATTTGAACGGAAGCAAAAGACTGCCGCTGTCACACTCATGGGGGAGTCGAAACACAGTTGTCCTTTACACTTCGGCATGAGGGCAACCAGCCACAGAAAACATACTCGAGTCAACCTCTTGGTTCTGGGTTTAGGGTTTGGGGGGTAAGGGTTAGGGCCTGCATAAGCCAAAATGTAGTACACTTCCTCGTGAAACTACACGCTAACAGGTTTGCTCTTGATCTATGCAGGGTTTGGATGTGACCGTTGGCAGTGATCTCCACCTAGGAGTAAAACACATCAGGGAAAGTGCTCAATTTTTTTGGGGGGGGGGGGGCTTCAACGCTTACCAACCTGAATGCTCCAAGATCAAGTTTCGGATTCAATGGAACCCACCCCCTCAAACCCAGATATCCCCCAGAAAGCTGTGGATAACTGGGGCGGAAGGGTACGGATTGTTTACAACTTTTCCGATTAATGTTGACTTCACATTAATGATTCCCGCTGCAATTGTAAAATCCAGCTGCCGGAACACAATAATGTAACCCCCCACAATTATAAAATCCAGCCCGGAATATTTTTTTACGGGCGTGGTGCTACTACCTAATACTAAAACTAATAGTACGTCCTACCAGGATTTAGGCGAATATAATTGAGGAGGCCCTGGCCGGAGAGATTGATCAATCAAGGGGGGGGGGGTTTATTAATGCGAAGTCAACATTACCTTTTGCCATTTGATGTTTTCTTTGTTTTTGTTCATATTTCTCGGTGCCCCTTCGCGCTCCATTTTTATGGCTTTGTCTGACCCATGCCCATTCATGAAGCTCCGCTTTATCGACTACGGCTCCATGGCCTGGTAAGCGACATTGAGCTTCACCATCTGGGCTTCCCGCCTGAGCTGTACATGTCGGCAAGGCTGAGGGCACACACACACACACACAGTGATTGCTGAGTGGCATGGTGATCTCCAACAGCTGGCAGACGACATGCGATTGGAGCCATTCTGCTGCCAACTATGCCGGCCGAGCGCTTGCTCCTGGCCCTCATGAGAGCGTTCCCCTATATTTCAGATGGAAGCCTTCTCGTGACCTCACGCTCGTCCAGCACGAAGGCGACGCTCATGGTCTGCGACTCTTACTTCATAATGCTTCAGATTTTCATGAGTTCCGAAGCATTCGATAAAAAGTGGGCGTCTTCGATCCCGTACGCATCTGATATCCTGGTCCTTGACTTCGAGCCGAAGTGCCCAGATTTCTTATATTCAGGTATATTCAGGTGGTATGAAGTGAAGGAGAAGGCAGAGTACATGGTGGGTTGGACGGACGGTTGGCAGTGCACGTTCGGCGGAGGACACTCTCTTGAGCTGAACACCGGCATCGAGCCGGTGACAAGCCGTTATCCAAACACAGAAACATGCCGTTCAGGCTACCAGGCACCAAATCTCGGAGGACCTCCTGCCGGCGGCTGGAGACAAACCACTTGGAGAGACTCTGCTACCTCCTTCACGACTGAGCTCCCGTCTCTCTCCGAGTGGCCTCGTCCAAGTGAACGGCTTTGTCTGGATGATACCTGACACACGTACGGCAGAATGCAACCTATTCCTGTGGTATCCCAATAGAGCTTCTGGTGCATGGTGGTGCATGCAATCAATGCCATCCACCCCCACTCGGAACACGGCCCTTGCATTCGGACCTAGCTCCGCCATGCCTACGTACCCACAACTTTCGGCGCAAGGGCTACGTGAAATCCACAAACACTGCAAGGAAACACGTCATATTGCGACAGAGCACCGCTTGCAAAGGCTCCGATATGCCTTCTTGACCTTGCAACAAACAGATCTGGCATTGCTGCTGTATGGATACAAAAGCAACAGTGTTTACGCATTAACGACCCAACCCTCTGTACGATTTGATGGAAAACTGAGACTTTGAATTGCGTTGGTTCGGCTCCTCTCTACCAATCTTCTACCATTCGCTGTGGCGGATGAAGCATGTAAGTCAACAAATCAGGGAAGTACAGTAGATTCGTGTGTTGAGTGTCGCGTGCTTGCTTCTCTTTGTTACTGTTGCCCAAAGATGGCACAACAAAAACGCAAAACTTAGCCAACCATCTTGTCCATGGCGTTTCGGGTTCGATGATTCCATGCCGTACTAATCGCAGTCGCACCCTCGATAGCAGAAAACTGGCCGGCCGTGGGTCATGCCTTTCTTTAAACTTCACCTCTACTCCTTTACAGAAGAGATGTGGCCATGGCAGCAGGTGAAGGGGCTGCCAGCCTCAGTTTGACTCGCCTTAGCTTGGAGGCCCAGGATGGAGTAGTGGTCTTGCTCCTTGGCACCAGGTTGCGATTGAGTGACGCATAGTGGCGCATGCCGCTGGGATCGCAGAAGCCTCTTTTGCCCTTTTCGCGATCGTGCAGCTAAGCACGTCGGCACATGCGGCGTTCTCTGGCCAAGAGCAGCGATGGACTATGTACAGCCTTTCTATGCTGCGGCCTGCTTGAATCATCAGCCTTCAGCACTGTCCGGCGACCAATTTGGCTCAATCATCCGAGGGGTCTCCGTGGTCAGCAGGGTCGCCAATCACCTCCTGAACTCTGCAGTAGCAGCACGACACGGCACTTACACAAGCTTACACAGGCAGCAACACCCCCCGGAGTAGTAATTTCTTGATCCAAGATGTGGGCTGACCAATTCATCAGTGCGTTTGCACCTGTGATGCCCTGCCCTGGTCATCGATTTCTATCCTTGGTTTCGAGATGCACTGCTATGTCATTTAAGCAACACTTCTGCTAGACCCCCGACATCCAGCCCTCGTTTGGACTTGGAAGCAAGCCGCTTGAGGTTGAGACTGGTCTCCGACTCTCGAAGTTACGACCGAAGCACAATTACACCACCGAAGACCCCAAACAGTCAGAGGCGCGTCAAAGAAACAGTGGAGACAACGGGAGACAAAGAGAGACGAAGGGAGACAAGGAGGAGCACAGCAACCCGGCAAGGCCACCCACATAAAGGGAGACAAAGGGAGATAAAGGGAGACAAAGGGCGACAAAGGGAGACAAAGGGAAACAAAGGGAGACAAGGAGCCCAGGAACCCAGCAACAGTCCTCAGAACGTCGGCAATCCTTTAATGAATTTAGAACCCCAACAACTGTTTGGGGGAAAAACCAAACTCGCAAGACAAATGCCAAAGGAGTCCCGAACAGCCGAGAGTCAAAGCTTCAGGACCTCCTTTCTGAATCAAGTACCTGAGTCTGTGGTTCTGTGCCAATGCTGGGCTTCATGCTATTTGGATTCGGATACTCTAGCTTTAGTTTAAGTGCTGAGTTTAAGGCAGGTTGACGTAGCTTTATGTTGTGCGCTGGGACCCTTGCTAGGAAGAGGCAGTCCTCATATGTCTTCATGGCAGTCATGGTTCCCTAAGCAGCCAGTGCATAGGCGGAGATCCCTTATCCGCCGACCCCAGCGGTAGCAGGGCGGCGTCAGTGAAGACCCCCCACCGCCCTCACCGCCCTCACCCGCTCTCACAGCATGCTGCTCATGACACCTTGAATTGGAGTGTTTTTGCATTGTTTGGCTTCAGTGCATGCCCAAACCCCGCCACCCATCGCCCTCACCCATGACGCCTTGAATTGGACCTTTGACCCCCCCCCACCCCATCCATTCAGGTGGTCCACCACCCCCACCCCCCCCCCCCCCCCCCCCCCCACACCCCCCACCACACCCCCCCCACCCCACCCCCCCCACCCACCCCCCCACCCCCCCCCCACCCCCCCCACCCCACCCCCCCCACCCCACCCCCCCACACCCCCCCCCACCCCCCCCACCCCCCCCCCACCCCCCCCCCCCACCCCACCCCCCCCACCACCCCCCCCCCCCCATGCCTCGGCGGCCTCGCCCCGACCCCCTCTACCTCACCGCCCTCCGCCCTCATCACTCCCCCTCCCTATGCCCCCCTGCCTGACCCAACCCTCAACCCTCACCCCCCCACCCCCCCACACCCCCCCCCACCCCCCCCAACCCCCCCACCCCCCCCCCCCCCCCCACCCCCCCCCCTTTCCCCCCCACCCCCCCCGCCCCCGCCCCCCCCGCCTGCCCGCGCTCCACCCTGCCTTCCGCCCCAATGCGACTGTCTTGGGTCTGGGGTCGGCGGCACTGGCGGTAGCCATTAAATCGGGCAGCGCGAGGTCCCCAAAGGACCGAGCAAATGCGGACCTTTTAGCCCGGGTCGTCCCGGCAATAGCCTTGCTGGCCTCTGGCCTTCTGCGAAGCAGAATTAGGCCGGACGCCAGTGCCGCTGACCCCCGCGTGCCGCCGGCGAATGGTTTTTTTTTCGTGGTTTTTTGCGTCGCCACGGAGACCCCCAGAGGGCGCGCATCATGAGCATCAGCGGGTCCAGCCCGGGACCCCCAGGCGCGCATCAGGAGCATCAGCGGCTCCCGGGGCGGGACCGCGGGGGGGCATCAGGAGCATGATGCCCCCCAAAGGGCGGGCATAAGCGACGTGTCTCAGCCCGGGGCTAGGAAAAAGGGAGTTTAGGGGCCTTATAAAGTGCTTAGAAACGTTAAGGGAGTCTCGGAGCCTCAAACGCTTAGAGATTTGAAGGGGGTTTAGAGGCCTGAAAATGCTTAGAAACTTAACGCTTAGAGATTTTAAGGGAGTTTAGGGGCCTCAACATGCTTAGAAACTGCTCGCCCCGGGCTTCTGCGTGCGCTGCCCGCCCATGGGCGCAGCCCCTTAAAATAAGCTAACAAGACTTGGTCGTACCTTGGCGCTATGGATCTCAGCCCTGCTCTTGGCACGCGGACGCAGGCAATGCTGCAAAGCTGCACATGGTAGTTGTCGGCATCTGCCTGGTTGCAGTTGGTTTCTACCTTTGGCACACAGTCACACGCCCCATCAACGACCCCGAAGTCGAAGTACTTGCCGCAGGAGGCTTCGTTCAAGACATACCTCAAAATGTCAATGGGGAACATGTAGGAATGCGAGCATGCTAGGGGCTTTTTCTAGGAGACGGCCTAGGCTTAGGGTCATGCGATCAACTCTAAAATGTTGCTGAACGTGTTGCCGTGCTGCTCGAAGCACGCCTTGGTCTGGTAGTTGCCCACGTTCTTTTTGTAACCAGAGTTAGCATTTGCCTGCAGCTCCCATCAAGAACACAACGAAGGGCTCGGGGTACAAGGGGTATGCAGGAGCAATTAAGGCGCAACTTTTCGGGCAGGACTACAAAGCCGATAAGGCTTTCAAACTCAATTCCTTTTCCAGTCTGCGCTGCGCAATACTTGTTGCTGGCCACCAGGGTGAAGTAGAACGTCGTCGTCAGCGTGGTGTCGGCTTCCTGGCCCTGCGCCGACAGCAGGCTTGCAGAGTCTGGCCTCAGAGTGTGCGGTTGGGGAGTTTGGATTTTCTTATACGAAGAAGCCTCCCTTAGCTTGAAAAGTGCGGCAAAGCCAAAATGCAACCTGTAAACCCTGATTCTTTCTATACCCTTGGTAACTGCCGCCGGTAGTCGCGTCCAACGCGTGTCCAAGGTGCACACAGCATATGTGGTCCAAGGCGCGCACAAGGTCCCGTTTAGTACGCACACCCGCGTGCACCCTGGACGTTTATCATTTTGAGGCATCTGCTTTCAGAGCATATAGGGCTTCTCACTCAACATCTCTTTTCAGGCTGAGCGAGAAGCGTGAAACATGGAATGCGAGAAAGAAGGGACTTCCTGCTTTGGATCGAAGCACAACCCTGCTTATTTCAATCCAAACGACAGATTTCCTTGCTTGGATCGAAGAGCAACCCTTCTTTTTGCAATCCAATCGGGGATTTGCTAGTTTGGATTGGAAAAGAAGGGTTGTTCTTCAAACTGCTGGCATGGGGCCCCTGTGCACTCCAGACCAAAAACTCAAATTGTGGAGTCAAGCTAGGCTCGCCACCGTCAAGAATCCAAGCACGAATAGTACCCACACCCAAAAACTATACCCTCGACCCTCCAGCCCGTACCCAGGGCTTCCCACCCGAGACCTCCCAGCTGGACCGGAGGTTCCGGTTGCCCAAAAGCACGCACAGGCGTGGCGCAGGTTTCTGGGACCCCTGGAACCGGTCCCCATGTGCACCCCAATGAACGCGTGCACCTTGGACCTGGCGCCCTGCCGGAAGCAGGGCTAGGGATGCTTAGGGCACATGAGCGGATACGAGTATGTAACACCCCTCAACTCTGAACTCGACTAGACCAGAGAACCCGAGCGCAAGAAACAAGCAAGTAGATAAGGAGGCATGACCTACATCACGGCCCTAAAGGCTGCAGATGGCTGTAGCACTGTGCGAAGATGGCCAAGTTGCTTCCGCTGCATCTTGTGCCCTTTATGAGACTTTGCTTCCTGCTCTGGCCGTGACTGCACCTGGGCATTTGGAGCGGGCTGGACATGCCCCATGTAGATCCAAGAAGTTAGTCATGTAAGGCAACGTATGGCAATGTAAGGTCCATCATGCTTGGACATGGGTGTGCCATGCAGCCCACGAGAGGCTTCACGCCGGGCCTTGGCTTTGGATTTTTCTGTCGGCTGCTTGTCGCCCGTGGGCGTGGCCGCTGCTTTTACTGAAGAAGCCTGGTGCCTCGAGACGGCTTGTCAGAACTAGCATAGATTTGCTGAGGTCACTGACATGGAGGTGCCAGAGGCATTGAAACACATACAACAAACCTACTCGTGTGACTCGTACCTCCAAGAAGAGGCCTCGAGCCGTAGGTGTCTGGCCCCAACAACCCATGAGCCAGACCCCTTTATTTGGCACTTTTTTGGATGGAATGGGTACCCCCCCCTAGCCGACATGTGTCCGGGAGCGGACCAGGACCAGGGGCAGCTGGGCCGTCCGCTTCCTGCTACGCCCCTTTCCACTGGCAAACGTTATCCCTTTCGGGGGGTGGACTCCCCCAGCCCCTACTGCAGGATCCAACAAAAATGAATCATTGCTCGAAGCCGAAAGCCCCAAATACGGCACCTTTTGTTCTCTCAAAGCCTTCTTTTACTCACTCTTACTCACTTTTCACTTTTGACCAGGGCAGCGCCTTTTCTTGGCGCTCTGCGGTACGTGGCCAGAAGGATGACCTGTTCAGTGAGCGAATGGGGGTTCATGGTTTCGAAGTCGTGGCTTTGTGGGGCATGCAACGGGGGCCAGAACCTTCTCTTTTTTTAGCAAGGTTCAGGGCGGTCTTCAATTTCAGATTGCTTCGTAGGGCTGCCTTAAATCAGAAAACTTCACATCTTATCTTGGCGCGTTCGCCTTTGAGGTGAACGGAGTGATGCCTGAAACTCAACTACCTAGTCAACAACACACGCATCACGCTTTCCCTGCTTCCACCACTGTGCTCCAGCATTCAACCTAAACCAAATCCTTGCCTGCGTTTCGGGGCACTTTCGCTTTGCTGGCAGCTTTGTGGTGCGGAACTGCATCGGCAGTGAAGCCTTGCAGCCATTTGAAAGAAGATGTGCCACGAAGAATGCAAAGAATAGACGGCCAGACGAGTTGGTGCGCACGTGGTAGGCTTCGTATAGAGGAGCTTTATGTTATGAATCTTAGGATGTGTAAGAAAGTCTCCATGTAAAAGCGCCCGCATAAAGACACATCCACGCAGGCACATCATCCTCAAAAGAAGTGATCTGTATTTTGAGTGGCAGAATCCCTTCGTGACAGAAACCAGGTCTGCTCGGACACATCGGGCTTCAGTATATGTGGGCAATACCTCACCATTGAGGCTATGGCAATATGATGAGGGGTGGGGTTTTTAAGGCCCGTGTTTGCGGAAGGATTTAAGTAGGAGTGCCCAGGGGCAGGGTGGCACAAAACTCGTGTGACATGTTTTGAAGTTCTTCGAGGGCAGCACGGTTTGAAAAGGCAATGGGGGGTGCGGGGGGGTGCGCAGCCCTCCCCCCCCCACCCACTTGCAAACACAACCTTCGCATGTATTGAGGCACATCACACACATTTCCAACCCCCCCCCCGGCATCCCCCATTTGCATATGGACTAATTATGTGCTTCAAAACCAGTTGAAACTATTCCTGGGCTTACCCAGAATGAAGAACCTACCCAGCGTGTCCATGTGGAGCGCAGTCATTGGGAACAACAAAAACCCACAAGAAAACCGCAGATGAGTGCTAACCCGATGTGCCCCAAGTCTCAGAGAACGTGGTACAATGCTGGATATTTCTGGACATGACATCCGCGCATTAACTTTATGTAACATGCCTTTAGCCCACTTTTCTTGCCTTCCTTGCTGCTTTGCACGTCGCAAAATCATCTTGCACTGAAAGTCCAAGCCGGCCTTCCATCTCCACGGAGCTCACGCGGGCATTGCCATCAGAATGCTCCTCCGAGCCCTCGCTGCCTTCGTTCTTTTCTTCCTCCTCCGACTCACTCTCCTCGACATTCTCAATGGCTTGCTTTTCGTCCTTCTGCTGACGTAAAGCAGCATCAAGCTGAATAGCGCTCGACTTGCTGTTGTCATCCAAGCATTTGTCGTTTGCAGACTTTCAGGCAACTAGGCTTCATGTGGACGGTGCCCAACCCAGAAACTCCGGGCAGTGGAGTAGAAGAGTAGAACTGACGTGGCGTGCTTCCCTCAGCTCTCAGCGCAGCTCCTTGGCCTCGGAGACGGCGTTCTTCGAGCCCGTGGCCAGCTCTGACTCTCCCTGCTCAGACAACTGGTATAAGCACTTTCCTGATGCACACCATGCCAACTGCACGTCTCCGCAAAAAATAGAGTCATCTGCGGAGACAGATGCAAGGGAGCAAACCTTCTGCCGCTCATAGAAAATGATCTCGCCCAAAAAAACCCCAACCCAAGACACACGTCCCGCAAATCTCGTTAACCTCCACCTCACACACCCCATATCGCCTTATCACCAATGAAGCCATCGTGAGACATGTCGAAACATGTCGAAACCACATGGCCTCTGGAAGCCCTGAGCCGTCGTCGCTTTGGTCATCTGAAGCAGTGGTAGTGGTCTCCTCGTCCGACTCCTCCCAGGAGGTTCTCGTGGGTTCGCACGATTTCAGCATTGGGGGTGGACACGGTTCCCAAGGGGCTCGTGCTCAGCTTCTGATGCGTCACCGGCAAGGAGTTTCACAAGTCACCCTTGCCAATGACGATTGCATGTATACTACGTGGTTCAGTCTGGTTCAGTCTGGCTGGGCAGCTTCGACTCTATACTTGCAAGCCCGAATTTATGTTCCCTAAATCTCATGCTACGCAAATCCCCCTGCAGATCGTGGTCGGGTGATTTTGCCCGCGTCTTGCCAAAACCTCGCAATGGGAGACCGGAACCCTTCGAATCGACCCCAAGGACCTCCTCGTCGGATTCGCCTTCGTCCTCTGAATCTGGATCCTGGCATAGACAGCTCTTGCTGCTCAAAAGGCCAGACTCGATGGCGCAAGGGACCCTCAAGATTCAAAACCCTAGCTTCCCGAACACTGGAACTCTCAAGACGCCAACGCAGCCCGTGCACCATCCATTTGTTGATTGAACGCCCAAACACCACCTTCCCAAGCCCTCAGTCTCTGAGTCGCTCAGCCTTGTGCAAGCATTTCCTTGCTGTTCAATGACTTTCTTGCTTTCCTTTTGGTAGGGGCATTCTGTAGAGCATTTACTGGCATCACAGTGCGTCCACACGTCCTGCCCTTTGGTTTGAGTATGTGAACGTCTCTTGCTTGGCACCTGGCATGGTTATTCCAACACCTTCGTGGCCGCGAAGTTGGGAACAATGGAAACAAGCAACGCTGGCGCGTGGAACTTTGCCGCTGAATTTAAAGATTTGATCCCTGTTCTTCTAGAGTGTTCTAGCACGAGTGCACCTGATTTGGAGGGTGCCAGCAGAAAGTTCGACCACGTGCGACTCGCTCGAATTTGCATTCTGTTCATCAGTGCGGATTCGATGGCTCAGCGGTTGGCTGTCTGCTCCAGCATACTAGGCTTTTTGCCTTCAGCCTGCGACGCTTTTTTGCATGCACTCGATTTGAACCTTGCTTGTCCATTGCTCGTCCCTTCTCCTTGTTGGCAACATTTGCTTGCCACCTGGATGTTACTAGGTCCTCCCGGGGCATCAGATTTGTCATGCTTGTGAGCTGCTTGTTCATTAAGCCTTTCCTGCACGTCTTTACGGTCAGCTGCATGACGGCGCATGCCGGTTCTTGTTTGCATGGTGTGGTCCCTCTGCTTGCCTTTGCTCCAACTCAATCTTGCATGCCGTCTGACGCCCGTCTTATCTTCTTTCCTTGTCTTACTTCCCACACGTATTGCATCACTTGTTACCACGATTCTTTGAGCATCGTTGCTGACAATTCGGCCAGCTTGAGCAGGGATACCGTGTCAAGGAAGACTCGAACGCGTTGTTTCCTCCCTACAGAAAGCAGCAGCCCACAAACTTGTATCCAAATGGTTCGAAGGGACATTCATCGGCACGTAGGAAATGCAAGGTGCAAGAAACAGATGCAGCGGACTCTTCTTGCATGCTTTGCTCGGATATTCAATGCATTAAATTAGGTGAGGTGTGTGGACATTTGCTGAGCGGAGCTGGCTGCAAGCCTAACCGTTTTCGGTGCACATGCAAAAGTATGCAACCCTTTTTGATTGTGTGAGCACAAAACAAGAAGCTCCGTTCGAGCAAAATCGACCAGGGAGGGTGCGACATGGTCGTGGTCGACACAAAAAACAAACGCCACAGGTGGAAAAAAAACACTGATTTTGCGAGTTTACGATCTATCGATCAGCATTGCGCACGTGAGTCTTTGACTTGGCTCATGTCTGCGTCTGTGTGTGAGTGTAAGGAGCGAGAGAGAGAAAGAGAGAGAGAGAGACACACACACAGAGAGACAGAGAGACAAAGAGAGACAAAGAGAGACAAAGAGAGACAAAGAGAGACAAAGAGAGACAAAGAGAAGTCGCTGTGCAGGCGAATCCAAGACCAAGGAAGCAGTCATGCAGGGAACGCATGCCCATCGTAGACAACTACGCCGACTGCCCCATGGAGCTTGTTTCCACAACGGGCGCGGGAACAGTTCATGTCAGTGCACCTGCGTGTGTGATGAAGGCGTAACATCTCGCTGTGCCTGCGCACGTCCTCGCTGTTGGTTCGAAGATACGGAGCATTCAGCCAGGATTTTGGAACGTGAGCGGGTGAAGCAACTTTGGTGTGGAGCAGCATAGAGCGCTTGAGAATTGATTGTGAGAGCAGCAGTTGCATGTGAGGCATTTAACGCGAGCTGGTGCTGCAACTTCGGTCTGTGGAACATTGCATTGCGTGGAGAGTCGCGTCAGAACTACATACTTGCACAGAGCAATTCACCAACCCTCGACATATGCTCACAAATCATTTCATGTAAACGCAAGATGGAAGTGGCATCTGTTTATCCCAAACCCTCCCGGCAAAGCTCCCTTCAATGCCAGGGCCCATGCCGACTTCGTGCGCTGCAGCTCCCTGTCCGTCCGAAGGAGCTCCTCGCCCTCGCCTTTCGAACTCTACTGAAGGACTTCAGACAAGGCATCACAAGGACTGTGAGGACTTTGGAGTATTTTTCGCAGCTCCGTGAAGCTCCGTGAGACGTAGGAACATTTTCTTCCTTCCTTTCGCCCTTATTGCCGTGTTATCCTCAGGGTGTAATAGCCACTGGCTGGGGCGACAACGCACAGCCTATCAACAACTCTCGCAGATCCCACCTTCTTCTTCTTCATCACCACTGCCTGAGCCTGGCAAGGCAAGAAGGCAAGCAGGCTCGCCCACTAGCGAGTACAAGGACCTACACCTTAAAAACACAACTTGTACGTTCATCGTCCTCTGCGCATTGTCCAGTGCACGTTGTTGCTAGGACCTATCTGCTTTGGGGCCTACGACTGGTGTCCAAGAGGGTCCATGTGGAGTCACGCTTGACCTGCTATGAGACCACCTTGCAACCAGTACGCTTAATTGAGCCCCTCCAGCAGATTCCACAGAGTGGTGGTACAACACATCAAGTTGTCGGTTGAGGGTTCCGACGCTCACGTTAGCACTCGCAGGTTCGAAGTTCGAAGTTCAAAGGTCCGCGAACGACTCATTTCACTGACGAGCTAATTGTCTGGGGAGGGCGGTTCATCGCCGGGGTTGAAAGGTTGCACGGCTTGAAGGGCATTTTGGATCATTTTGGTGTTCTGCCCTGTCGAGCCACCTCCTTCAAAGGTTCATTGGTGCTGGTTGCCAGACTCGCAGGGCCTTATTGGACAAGAACCATGTCGAAGAACGGACCTTAAGCCAGGTCTGACTGTTCACGGAACGTTTTCAATTTTGATTGTGCCGAATCGTGTCGTCACGTGGCATGTAGGTTCGATGGTTTCAGGTTCGTGGAAACGTCCGGCTGCGTTGGACATTATTCTGTTGCCAACGCTCCGCGAGGAATGCGAGTCAACGTGCGCAGCACACCCTGGACGCAGACACTATACCCGCCGCATTTCTTCGAGGGGGTCGCGCCGAAGTGCACTTGAATATGCGTTCCGGTGAGACTGGTGCTTGTGATGGCCCTCCCGCGTTGGAGGGAGTATTTTGGCCAAGGTGTGAGGCAGCTAGACGTGGGTGGCGTTGTACGTAGGCACACTGAATAAACATCCGGGCTATCCCGGCGTCACTGCTTGGTTTTCTTGACCCGTCTGGGGCACGACCCCTGCGCGCACACAATGATTATCTGCATCATGTGTTGCAGATTTTCCTTGGGAGGGGGAGCCTGTTTGCCTGTGCCCCTTGATTTTTTCCCGACAGCATGGCGAGGGTCTTGGAGAAAAGTCTTCGTTCAGGATGATGCATGGATGGATTTCGTGATGGATGATGGATGGATAGATGGCATGATGGATTTCGTGGCTTTGCTGTTTAAGTTATATAAATGTATGCTCACCCCCCCTCCCCCCCAAGATCTACGTTTACAGGTTTCCAGAACCCAAAAAAGGTCAAAAACGCCAAAATCAGGATGCCAAAAAGCCCAAACCAAAACAACCCAAACCAAAAAAAACAAAACCAAAAAAAACAAAAAAAGCAAAACCAAAAAAACCAAAAAAACACAAACAAAAAACAATATTTTCGAACTCTTGACGACACGGGGTATTGATTCCCTTTGTCCAAGAGTCTCGGAATAATGTTTTTTTTGGTTTTTTTGGTTTTGTTTTTTTTGGTTTGGGGGCTTTTGGTTTTTGAGTTTTTTTGGTTTCCAAGAGTCTCAGAAAAATGGTCATTGTGGTTCTTTTGGTTTTTTTGGTTTTGTTTTCTTTGGTTTGTGGGTTTTTGGTTTGTCTGACTTTGTGTTTCTCTTGTAGAGAATAGTGCGTGCCCAAAACCTAGGGAAATACTGTGCTTTTTCAGATGCATAGTGCCTGTAATTACTAGGCAAATATTGAACTAATACTATACGCAAGAGGCCGAGTGAACTATCCTAGTTTTTCGTCACTCGTAGAATATCCATTGCAAAATGTAGCGATTGCGCTCGGCAATCTAGACAAATACTGCAATTTTAGAGACAAGATACTTTTTTGAAAAGCAATTCGTTCTGTTTCTAGAGAAGCAGTGCTTGTCCCAAGCCCAGGGAAATACTCTTCTAAGCACATAGTGCGGCAAAATACTGAATTACGAACTCTTAAACAGCATAGACAAGCTTACAAATGCATAATTCTCGTAGAGATCTTAAAGAAACACGACTTTAGCACAGCGATTATGTGTACTAGATTTGACTTTAAAAACAAGCAGTTTTCATCACATAGTGATGAAGCACTGCTCGGGCACTAATTAAATACCACTTGTACAGATGATATTCTGTCTCAAGCGCACAATTCGCATAGACAAGCTCAAGAATACATATTCTTTCTTAGAAGCCTATTTGCCTCGTGAAGATCATAGTACTCGGAAATTTCAAATCCTAATGCCTGGGGAGAATCTCTGGCGAAGTTTGGACTTTTGGTTTTCAGGTGTTTCGGCACAAATAATGCAATTTTCCTAAGCAACGCTTTTTCCAAGCAAAATGTTGATTAAATAGGCAAATTAAATACGATTGAAACACCTTGCACATTTTAAACGCACACCAATGCAATACTCTTTGCATAGAAATTCAATACTAAGTACATACTGGTTTTGTCGATTTTAGTATGAATTCCTCTTTTCAGCTTGCTTGGAGTGAGCAATGAAGGACAGCTATTGGGACACATGCCGCAAGCCGCCCGATAAGCAAGACTTGGAGTCTGCAGAACCCCCGGAACGCAGCGGACATATTTTACTACGGAATCAATGATTACCATAACAGTCGGCATGATAATATTGTTATGGTTAGTGGTAGGAATTACCCTACTATTGGCTGTTTTTGTTGTATGAGAGAAAGAGACCCTTTCCTGGGAATCTTGAAAGAAGCCCCGTCAGACCCGGTGTTGACACGTGCAGTTCAGCAAGTTTACTAAGACAACAGTAAAAACACAAAAAAACACGCACGAGTTTTTTGAGGTGTTAACAGCAAAACTGCTATACCTTCCAGGGTTTTGGCTTTCGGAGTATAGAAGGTCACATAATTTTAAACCGAAATTCGGTTGCAGATTTATAGACATTTTGCATGCATGATGTGTTACGTAAAATAGTCCCGGAAATACTCGACAAGTACGATTTTATCGGTATTTACAGTGTTTTCGGCGTGCACTACTTGTTCACAAGTGCGTGGAAGCAAGCAGAAGAGTAGTGTAGACAAGGAGGGTGTAGATCTTTTTGGGGGGGGGGGGGGGGTGACCAAATGTAATATATATATATATATATAAACAATTATATACATGTAGTATGTTAATATGTTTTGGAGCACCGGGTATAGGGTTGGGGGGACTCGCCGAACTTCGTGATGCATGGTGGGTGGTCTTCGTGAAGAGTCTACATTAGATGTCGCGATGGATGTCGTGATGGATGATGCATGGATGCCGTGATGCGTGCGAGGTCTTAATCGTGGCTTGGCAATGCTTCGGGACAACCGTTCTCTCGCTGCTTTTTTGCTGGTCTTTGTGGTTGTTTTGTCTGTTGCACGAAAGTATAAAGGTACGAGTGCATTGCGTATGTATGCATGAAAGGAGTAGTGCGTAGAGTGCCATGTACGTATGGGCAGCACTTTCAAAGAGGTTGATCGTGGAGACCGCAAGATCTACAAGTGCAGAGTGGCTTTCGTACAGGAGCTCAATGCCCTCCACGCCAGAGAACACGGAAAGCTGTGCAAAATGCCAAGCTGCAAAGGACCGACAGCCTGATTCTGAATGCCTTCTGCCCTCTTCTGGAGCTACATGGTCAGAAGTCCGGCCTGATGTGGTGTCTGTGCCGACGCCCTCTTCGAAGACTGTCGTTGTCTGTACCGGATCACCTGCCTCTGCACTCTTTGGCATGCGACTTCGATTGCACTGAGGCTACTAGCTAGACTTAGGCATATGCAAAGCACTTTCGCAAAGCAGAACAGCCACGAGGGCGAACAAGAAGAAACCAAGAAGGGACGCACACATGCACAGGTCTTGTTTGAAAGCTCTTGATAACGGCGAACTCAAGTTTCAAGGAGAGATTTCTGCGAACTCACATCTTCCACACACCTCCCCTGTCTAGAGTCACCTGCTTTGTTTTTGAGGCTCAAGGGTTCAAACGTTCAACACAATAGGTTGAAGCCAGGCCAAACTCTGGTCATCTCCCACACTCGGTGCATGAACCATCCAGGCTCAACATGCTCATGCCGATGTCCTCCGTCTCTGAGCTTAGGCCCTTTTCTCTTCGCATCATAGCCTGGCACGCTTGCATAATTGGCACAATGGTTTAATTCAGTAATTCTTCGGCAAGCAGATTTTATGAGTCAGAAGCACTGCCCCAAACGCTTCGGGCAGCTCCTTTCATAAATCTGCTGCGCGGGGTTTTTTTACAACCCCAATTGATGGTCCGAGAGAGCAATAAATCAATATATCAATACAACTCAAAATTCGCCCCCCTACCCTCCCACAAGCTCCCTAAGCCCTAGCCATACGTGAGTGCGAAGCGCAAAACATCGCTGTGGGGGATTTGCTGATTTACTTCTTTAACGATTTGGAACTGCTCTACCGAACGACATGGAGTTCTGGTGTTTCAAAGTTACCTGAGTTCTGGCATGTCAAAGTTACCTTCAGCGTTTAGCACTCAACCGTGGATCCAATCGCAAGCCTTGAGAAATTGCTTACTTCGTGTTCCTTCATGGGGACTTTCGCTCCCACATAGCTGGAAGAAATCATGTGCTCACAGGGGAAAATACAAAACGGTGGCAAAGCTGGCTCAATTAGCCGCAGCCCCGGGCCAGCCAGCCCATGCCCTGCAAAACCACTCACAACAAGTACCCAAGAGCCACCTAAAATAACAGGAAGAGGCCTTTAAACGCAGGGGAGTTTGGGGATCAAAGTTGCTAATTGGCATCCTGTTCCGAATGGTCCAGATTCGCTAGACTTGCTTCTCTTCCTATGCTCGGTAGTAGCAGCTAGCAGCAGGGTAGCAGCGCCAGGGAGTCAACGCAGAGCTGCCTTCGCAGATCCATCTGCCTGCACTTCCATCTCCTGGTCCTCCCTGCTGTCTCTCCTTATGCTGCGATTCAGAGTCGCTAGCTTTGCCCAAATCGCTTCACCAGGGCTTAATTAAAACCCTCAGCTCGAAATTTCAAAAAAAGATTGTCTGCTGCTTTGCGTGAAGGCCTCGCTGCCTGCTCGTGGACCTGGTACTTGACGTCCACAGCTCCCGACATTGCAAAGAGCTCACCCAGGACCGCGAAAAGGAGAATAAGAGCCATCGCAGTTGAACTGGGGTCCTTGGAGCTTAGCCGCGCAATGATCGTGCGATGCGGAGATTCGGGCTTAGCGTTCAGGGTTCCTGTTTGGAACGTTGAGGTTCAGGCAGCTGCGGCTACAGTAGAGTATGTAGCATCCATCGGGTTGATAGGTGTGGATTCCTACTGGCGAGATCAGCAGCTCGCTGAGGGCCCGTGCGCAAGTCGCAAACGTATCTATAATGACCATAATTTTCACATCTCATCGAGGCCAGGGGTCCCTTTTTCATGCAAATTGCTCTCAGTGGACTCTGCAGGCCCCCAGCTAAAGACACGCCGATCTCAGTCCCTGAAGAAACACAGGGCTGGAATTGAGCCTCGAGGCGTATGGAATATCGTGATAGCCAAACTCACGCACCTTTCCTGGGTGTAGCACAGGTATATCTGAGCCGAAACATGGCTGCGGGTGCATGGCATGCACAGCGGCAGCACATGCGGCATGTCGGAATCCCTATCAGCTATGCTACCCTGCTACACCCTTAAAAAGACTGCAGGCGCTGCAAATCTGCTCCAGCCGACAGCATGCAGCAGTCCTGGTAAACCATCGCCGGTAGAAGTCTGCAGCTGCCTGAATTCCCCACTGAGACAGAGACACATCAGCCCAGGAGAGCGTTCCGTAGTTCTGTTATCAGTGAGCCGCACGCACGTGAGCGTGTAACTCTCGCATGCCTCAGATCCAGCTGGATGCGACTGGCGTGTATGTTCATACGTACACCTGTACATAAATATTTTATGTAAATATTCCCATCTATATATATATATATATATCTATATTTGCACCGTATATATTTACATGCTCGACCCCCTTCCCCCCCAACCCACATGACAGACAACCACCCTTGAAAAGACACACATTCAACAGACATATCCTTCTGACTGTCACTTTCCACCTTGCTTTGGGCCTGTGCCTTTCCCACTTTCCACTTTTCACCAAGTTTTGGGCCGATGCCCTTTCCAATTTCCGCTTTTCTTTGGGGAGGGGGGGGGGGTTAAATGGAAGAGATATGGCAAGCGCAAAAGTATAGGTCGAAAAATGTGGGAAGTGGAACGGACCCTAACACGAGTCGAAGGCCGTGTAATGGCTTGTGTAAACAGAATTTCCAGGGTTGTACCCTTTCGAATTAGGTACAAGTTCACCCGAATTTAAATATACACATTTGAATAGGGTTTGACCAAGACAATTAGAGGTCAAATGAAGTACTTCTGCTATTCAACGGGTCGGGATACTGGAATAGAATGCAGGGCAGCTGTGCCTGTTGATGTTTGTAATCCTAACCTCGGAGTGATTAAGTAACGACCATGCACACCCACTGAGCACATGAAGCATGGACACCAGACCTGTTTTGTCAGATAGCTACGAGATATTTTCAATTGGAAAGTTGATGTCGTTGGCTAAACTGCACAGAGGCACGACTGGCCAGTCTGCACACGGCTTCGCTTCTTACATGGTACACACAAGTCCATCGAAGTCCATAGACTCCAATTTAGTCTTTTCAATGTCTTTTCATGCCGTCTTTCATGCTTGAACCATTGTACATTGCATGAAGCTTACTTTACTTCTGGACGTACACACGATTTTGAACGCCTGCAGAACTACATGCACGGTGTATGAGCTGAAGGACTCATTCAGATGCTTGTTCGAAGACAGCTTGTCTGACGAAGATCATCGCCATGCTGTTTTAGCACGGGTGTTTCGCGATTCGATGTAGGTAACCTAGTCACACTGAGCCCCGGACAGTTGATGAACTGCAGTGCGCATCTGATTCCGGAAATGCAAACTGGTCAACTGTTTGCTCAGGATAATATCGTCTGTGGGTCTATGGTGTTGTGAGACATGGCGCTGACATGAAGCCTTGGATCATGTGCACAGGAGTCGGCGAGCGTACACAGCTGCGGACGCAGGGAGCTGTGATCACTTCGTGACAAGTTTTGGCCTAACCAGAGGATGGCCACTGGAATGCCTTGTAAGGGTCGCCAGTGAAACGCCTCGCGTGACCTGGAAAGGGCTCTCCGATGGACACCCTCCGAATGCTGAAGTCGAAGCTGCCGAAACACTTGCTGTCATCTGCACTCTTGCAATTTTAACATTGAAGTGTGCTGCGGATGGCGGCCCCGCCGATCATATGGACTTTGGAACGGTGAGACCATTGGGCCCTTTTGGATTACTGACATTGCCCATGTGATGGGTGAAAAGAAAAATCCCTGAACTAAGCAGCAGACCATATCTGTCATATCATTGACTGCAACACTCAAACCGCAGCAGTCACGCGCAGAATGTAGACTTCGAGGGGAAGTTTACTCAGCCTCCAAGCAACCCCCAGCAGAGCCCTGTGCACAGCTTTCGGGTCGTCGTACTTTTTAAGCACTTCGGAGCCTGAACATGCCGGGGCTATTTCAGGTTTTGGGTTCTCTTCGTCCTGAAGGCATGAGGGCAAAATGGTGGGACTGGTACATTCCTGGAGGCTTCTTCAAGGAGGAGGCATGTCTGTCCATCCCTCGAGATGTCTGAAGTCTAAATAAAGTCTAAAGTCTAAAGTCTAAAGCCCGCCCTCAGCTGAAGGGGACATGGGCAGCGAATGTGGCGACCCGTCTTCAACCAAATGGTACATAGTCCGGCGGCCTTGTCGCAAGGCGATTCGGGTTGGCTCAAGTCTGTGGTGCTGAATGGCCTAACGGCTACTACAGTTACAAGCGTTCCAAGTTAGCGTTTTGGAAGTTTAGGGTTTTGAGCTCTGGGAGTTTAAGCCATGGTGGCAAGGTTGGCTATGGTGCCCTGGGTGTCATGCTACATCGGGTGCTATGAAAAGACACCATTGCTGGGAAACTGCTGGTGACGTGCCTGATCGTGCCTGGGTCTCTCTGCCTATACCTCACTCGAATCCTCCACAGACAGGGGAAAATCGGAAATTCTAAGCCGCTCCCTAGTTGGAAGTCCTGCTGAGCTGGCACCTTGGATGGCTGCTCCGAGCTGTGCCCGCACCTGTTCTGAGGAAACAAAGAAACAAGGATGATGTACGAGCTTCATCTTCAGAAGTGTTTGATTTTTGCCACCAGCTCGGCACTAGGTTCTCAAGGTACAAGCATATGTCGCGCGTGTCTTCTCTTTCTTCCTGCGGCTATGAGATGCTATGAGACCCATTAAGCCTGTTCGCCTCGCCTCAGCTTGCTGGTGCAGCTCCTCCGGCGCCCCAGCATGCCTCGAATGCCTCGCTGTGAGGTTGCAGGGACCTACTGCTTGGGGACTGCGTGGGCTTGGGCTTGAAAAAGAAGGACTGATAGACTACCTGAACAAACAGTCTCCGCGATACCATAATCTTCCAACGCGCTCACAATTAGCAGGAGATTTCCAAACCCCTTTCAAGCGGCGAAGTTGAAGAGCTGGCATGGATAAGGCAAAAGCAAAAGGAATAAGGAAAAGGACTAATGTGCTGGAGTGGTCGCTCTGTTCGTGCGCCGAAACCGGATGCGGAGTTGTTTGCTTCTTTCTTGTTTGGGGGGGGGGGGGGGGGGATTTAACTGAGATGCAATACAATGTATTCATAGCTTTTGACGGGTCATTCACGTTATAGTGAATCACCTGTGAATGCGAAGAAAGACTTAAAAGGCCCTAGTATAAACTGATCAGAAGCATTGCAAAGGACCTCTATACTGTTGGACAATATGCTTGCTCAATGAGAGAAGGATATGAAACTTCTTGGCCCTTATGATTCGCACATCCAGTGCAAAAATGTTTAACATTGAAGAAGTGAGCGCAGTGAAGTGGGCTCAAAAACAAACAATATAGGAACAAGAGGAAACGAAAAGACAACTATACAGTGGTCATTAACTGAATATGCGAGAATACGAAATTCTGGAAGATAGAACGAATGGCCACGAAGTGAAAAGAATGATGTATGGTGATGATATTTCTAAACTTGCAAAAACATTTCAAAAAGACATGGCAGCCTAGATAAAACAAGAGCTAAGTCACGAGGATCTGGAAGATACAGCGCAGCTCCAGAAGGATACAAATAATTTTGTGATGGCCTCTTACCCACACGAGAAGGTTTTTGTGGGTTTATTCAAAAAACAAATAAAATCAAACAACAATCAAAAAAGACTCGCCCAAAAAATCAACTCAGAACCTGCCGAATCCCAGAGACTCAGAAAAAAATCAAATTACAACCAAGAACAGAAACGGAGCCTGGGGCCGGGATGTGGCTGATCGGCTTTGATTATTTTTGATTGTTTTTTGATTGTTTTCGGAATATGTTTGCTTTTTATGGGTTTTTTCGGGCGTTGACTATTTTCTGATTGTTTTTTTTTGTTTTCTTGCTTATTTTCTGATTGTTTTTTGCTTGTTTTTGATTATTCTGGGATTTTCGGAGGTTGAATATTCTCTGACTATTTTTTGATTTTTATTTAATTATCTGTTGATTAGGTTTGGTTTTTCATCTGAGTCTGTGTTTCTGTTTTATTTTTTGGGCTGATTTTCCGGTGAGCTTTTGGTGATTCTTTTTTGCTTTTTGAATATTGGACAGGAAACCCTTTTCGTGTGGGTAGAGGCAATCACAAAAATCATTGAGCTTCAGGAACTAGAAAACGCCCCCAAAGAAGATGAAGCATTCTTGAAAAGCCTTCATATATTCATGGAGACATCTCTCAATGCGTATCTAGACAAGTATGAAAACTATCAGTTCATCCAAACATCCTACGAGAAGTGAGTTCCAGTCCACGAATAAGTATGAAATTCTGTAAAGATAGGCAGGATAAGAAAAGTAGCATGAATAACAAGCAAGAACCATTAGTAACAACGCAAAATGAATCTGATGTAACTTCTAAACTGTAAGACGACAAAGCACAAAATAATACGGGCAACAGAGCAAGTGAAGGGCGCGCATATTACATTCACGCATTTTTGTGATTCTATCTTCGAATCACGGTAATCTAGGGTGACTATCACACATGATTCTGGACAAAGCTAATCGCAAGCAACCGCGAGCTACGTGAACCATGGTCTGGAAATCCAAGTGTGCCGAAGCCTGGTGCTTGGGCTGCTCGCACCGGCGCAGAGCGCCTCGAGCAAAGACATTGTCAACTTGTCAAACGCTTCTTTGTCGTGGGGGCATGCTGCACCATGGAAGCGCACTCATGTGATCACAGGATCACCCGGGCTCATGTCACGCAAAGCTCCAACTAGAGGTATGACGTTCTTGCCGTTTGCCTAGGTGGCTCGCCATGTGGATGAGAGGTTTAGGGCTTTGGCTTCGTCTTACAATGTCTTAGATGTATGCCGCCACTGCCAATGCCATTGCCGGCATGAAGAAAAAAACCTCTCCTAATTTTGGAATCAGGCCAGGGTGCGCCCGATGGTGAATTTCAATTTCCACTTGCTTATGCGACCTACTTCGTCCAGATGCCCTATAAGCCGAGTAAATTCCACACCCTCACAAGCGCGGAAGAGCACCAACCCGATGATGGCGCAGCTCACCAAAGCAGCCTGAGCAGCAGTGAGCAGCGCTTCTTCGATATCGCGCAGACAAGGGTTTCGGTGGGCCTCGGGCCCCACCTGTCGATGAAAGGGAAATTTGAAACATGTGTAGAAGCTCAAAAAGTTCAGGTGAAGTAAACTGCGCCTATTTGTCCATGCAAGGGCTCCCGCACCTTATCAACGTGTCAATGTGTCCTCCCGCTACCCTTTTCAGAAGCCTGATGTCCATACTATCATAGGCTTACTTCGGCCTACTGCCCGTTCAGCCAGTTGAGGTTGACGGTTGGTCAGTCCGAGAACCGATGCATACCGATGCAGAATTGCTGCCGGCCCCCGGATGTCGAGACCGTCCCTCGCGAGAACACAGGTAGGGGCACCAGGGCCCCGGCAAGCATTGCGGCACTTCCATCGTGCATTCTTTGAACCTGCCCAAAACACATCTTTTAAATTTTGGTCGCCACCTCGAAACCTAAGTGGGCTCAGCTTCATCAAGGTCTCATCAATGGTCTAGACTGCAGAGGGCACTAACACACATATCTTGTGCTTCACGCCGGTACCATATGGTATCATCACCGCATCTTCAATTTCAAACCACCAGGGGCCAGCTGCGACAGTCGAGGTAATGATGGGCTGGCACGACCCCGGCATAACTGGCATGCCTGGCTACCAGCGCCTCCCCGGAGCAATGGCCTCAAGCTGACTTATCTCATCGTTGGACCTCAAACAACCTATGGACCTCCAAACCAAGTGAAGACAATGCTGCACTGCATCGCACAGACTTGCCTGAACACTGGAGGCGGAAAAAAGATTGCAGCGTCCAAACCATTGGGAGCAGAAATCTTCAGAGCAGGCATTCGGCCATGTGTATTTTTATGGGTTGTGTAAGAGGCCAGGCACTGACGGATTGGTGAGAACCGCCATCGCCGAAAGCGTTCGACCCCTGCTCGGTGTCTCAACCAAAAGCCCAGACACAACCCTCGCCCCCTCCTCCCCTCTCCTCCCTCCCAGCCTCCCTCCCCCCGTTCGCCTTGCTCCGGTGTCTACCCCCCGCCCCCCCATAAAAGCAGTCGAAGAGAGAATAATGCGAGGAACGTTTGAGGTTGAGAGTTGTTCCTGGAAACGCCGGCAGGTTGGTGACGAGACAAATAAGGCTTGTGCTCTGAGAATGACACGAAGGGGCAGGGAGGTTGGGAACCACCAAGACCACCGCACAAAACTTCCAGACGTAACACTCCTGAGTTGCGTGCGAGAGCTGCTTTTGTGCTAAGGCAGCCTTTCCAGGCTGCAGCAGCGTGACCTGGAAGGTGGCAGATTTGCAATTGTTGTAATTGCAGGGGTCAGACGCAGCTAAAGATCCACCCGCCGCTCTGGCCGCAGCTGTGGAAGTTACTTGGGACTTGGAGAGCAGCACTTGGGTCAAGACAGTCTGAAGGGGCAAAGTGAAGCATGCTCTGGTCTGGGCTTGGCAGAAGCCTCAAAGGCATGCAGCTTGCCAATTTTGAATCACAAGCATGGTCAAGCCGCGAAGAAGCAGTGTCTCTCGAAGCAGACTATCGTAAGCAAACCCTGCGTTGCGGGCTTGCAAGAACTTGGAGAAAAGATATGCGCACACACAACATATATAGAGCTTCTTTGAGAAGCCGGACCGGATGCGTGCTCAAAGGGAGCTGATAGCTGCATCCATGAACTGGTTCTTTTGCGTCGGAGAGAGCGTCTGCCTCGGCTCTTCCAACGCTTCGCACATCTTCTCTTCACGGGATTGATGCCCAACGATTTCCGGCCAAAACATCTATCATGTGGGTCCTGGATCGCGCTAGCTAGCGATTAAAGTCTGCTGCTCCTGCTAGTGCTGCTCCTCCAGCTGCGCCTCCTCTTCCTACTTTGCCACTCCTACTCCTATAACTACCAAGACCTACCACTATGACTTGGACTATGAGTCGTACTAAGTGGTACGAGTGGTACTGTGGTAGACTGGTGGTAGAAGTAGCAGTAGCAGTAGCAGTAGCAGTAGCAGTAGCAGTAGCAGTAGCAGTAGCAGTAGCAGTAGTAGTAGTAGTAGTAGTAGTAGTAGTAGTAGTAGTAGTAGTAGTAGTAGTAGTAGTAGTAGTAGTAGTAGTAGTAGTAGTAGTAGTAGTAGTAGTAGCAGTAGCAGTAGTAGCAGTAGTAGTAGTAGTAGTAGTAGTAGTAGTAGCAGTAGAAGTAGAAATAATACTTACTACTACTACTACTACTACTGCTACTACTACTACTACTACTACTACTACTACTACTACTGCTACTACTGCTACTAGTAGTCGTAGTCGTAGTCGTAGTAGTCGTAGTAGTCGTAGTAGTCGTCGTCGTCGTAGTAGTAGTAGTAGAGTGGGAGACCATGTGAGCCCAGAGGTCCAAAAGCGGTGACATTTTCGCACTTCGAAAGCCCAGACGTCCAAAAAGCGAAGACAGTTTAGCATGTTGCCAAACCAGAAGCAAAAAAATGTCATGACAGTTTCGACAGTGAGCGCAGCCACACCCGCGCCTGGGTGAGAGCGTGGTTTTCGTCCAGAATGCGAGCAGGCTACGACATGCCCCCCATGACCTACACCCTTTGCCCTGCATGTTGGAACCCCTTACCTTTGGATGTGAGGCCCCGCAACCTTGTCCCCTGAACCAGCCCTGGGGCAACTCGATGAGTCCACGCTTGACAGCTGCGGAGTCGATGTATTTCTCCAGGCTGGTGGCAGAGCGTGTCTCCATGTCCTGCAGCGGATCAAGACTGCTTCATGATTCATTGTTTAGCTTGTACGAGTTTATTCTCCTCCCCTCCCCTCTTTTCTACTCAGTCTTGGACCTGTGACGGTTTTGCTGTCTGGAGGCTGACTGGATTGCGAAAAAATCACGCCACCCAGGAAACCCTGAGGGTGGCGCGAAGAATGTCTGGCCGAGAGTCTCAGGACAGGACCTGAAAGATGTTGACCTTTGGAAAGTCCCAGAATCCAAGAAAAGCCCTCTGTCCTTCAGGCTGGACTCCAAAGCCTGGTCCTGGGCCTCCAAGGACTTCTGAGCTTGGGCCTGGGCACTCGGATCTTTGAAGCCGGCTGCGCAGGTTTATGGGGGTATGGCAAGGGTAGCGCCCGAACGTGTTGGACCATGAGCGAACGGTCCCAACTTTGATGGCTCAAGCTATTGCAAGCTATCCCAAAGCTCGTAGTTCCAGGCTACAAACCGAATGGCCTTAAAGGCACAGCTTCGTCTTCTTCTTCGAGTTCCTCCATGAAGTGTTACTGGGGGCACGTATTCCCATTTGGCCGCTGCTACAGCCGTCTGGAAAATCTTGCCAAGAAGGCCCTCTTTGCAGGCTTGGTGCGTTGAGGGTGGCCTGGAACTCTGCCACATCCTTGGCGATGCTTTCATTAATTTCCTTGACCACGGCATCCGCCTGAGCGAAAAGTCAAATCGCAGTGTGTCCTAGACCTTTGACACGAACTTGAGGTTTCAGAGTCTGTCGATGCGGATTCGGAAAGCTAGAGTTTTTCGAGGGTGTTGTGGTTATGGACTGCGACAAGGGGTCATACGAGTCGAGATATTATAGTGGTCACACCCGCAAACCAACGCCAAAAACTGGAACAAACCATCTGCAAAGAGCATGAACGTTTCTCATCACTTCTCCACTTCTCTTGCCTGCTCCTTTGCCTTCTTGGCCTCTGCCAGGCGGGTCGAGGCCTGTTTGGAAGATTTGCAATGAACTAACAACATCACATGACGGCCCAAGTGGATGACCAAACAGCTTGCTAGGATTTGCTACGCAGACTCCAGCTTCCTGATTCTCCGGCCTCCTGCCTACGTCAGAGTCTACATCTCTTCCCGATGACACAGATTTGCTTTGCTGCCGCAGGGCCTCATTGTACTTGGCAATAGCATCGTCAATGTCGCTCTGGATCTCCTTCAAAAACGAGGTGGAGCATAAGCCCTCGCACCAACTGACCCCCACACACCCCGAAGTCATCGCATCATCGCCCCGTCTTTCTGCTTCTTCTCGGAGGGCTTACGGGCAAGCCCCCAAAACAGCGCGTCCCAAGGTCAAGTCTCGGGGTTGCTGGTAACAGTTAGGCCTTGTGCGTTTAGACGTCCTGACTGTGAGACCACTGGTGAATCACTGCACACCCCAAAGGTAGACCTGCTACATTTCCTCTGACTCTCTCCCTCTCCTTCTCTGCCGAGGGCTCATTCTCTGGCATGATAGGAAGCAGACGTCACAACAACTATGGATTACAAGATGCTCGTCGTGGTTTTTCACACACTACGCGTGTTTAAAAGTCGCTTGTTCAAACTCAAGACTTTGATACTGTTGCGATCTAGATCTCATGCCGACATTTTCTTGAAGCCTCTGTAAGTGCTTACAAGGCTTTCGACATCCAGTGTGAGAACGACTTTCGGAACTGTCATGCTGCTTTCGTACTTTTGTCAAAAAACAAGTGTTGGGCTCACTTTACTTACACAATCCGTACTCTTTTGCTGAAACTTCGGGACGGTTTTCCCAACCTCCTGGGTAACTCTCCGGATGCGAGAGATAGGATGTGACCAAGTCTACGTTGAAGCGCTTGAGACATGCCATGTGAAGTCAAAGAGCAGAGGAGTCAAAACACCAAGTGATCGAAGAGAAGGCTGCATGGAACACAGCTACATAATAACTAGACTGCGAACGAGCAACATGAGAATAAGATGAATAAGATCAAGAACTTCAAGAACTGCGACACTTTCCACGACAGTAAAGGTGTAAAAGTGTACGGCGTTACAAAAAAAGATCTGCACCAAAGCAACAACAAAACCTATGCCCAATACAGGACAACCTATTCGAACTCAAGGATGTCGAGCAACTCAGCCCTGAGCGTTCCACACCCAAATCAAGAGCACGACATGTGCTATGAGAATCACAAGCAAGAAAGAGCCAAGTAAATCTCGACAATGGACAACAACGCGACTTGTACATGTTTGGACGGAGCAGACTCAGCCTTGCCAGGCAGTTACAAGCACTATCAGAGAGAGAAAAAAAACTAGTGGCAGCACAGCTGAAAACAAGAAATTGAAATACCTAGTATGCACTCCAGAGTTCAAGACATATGACTTTTTGAACGAGAAAGCCCAGCCAGTGCTAGCCAGTGTAACCGAAAAGTGCAACGCATTCAAAATTACGCCCGAGTTCTTTTTCAGATTCCACTCACAGTGCTTGAGCGCAACTCGGGGATTCTTGACGGTGTTTGAGGAGAAAAGCGGCTGATTGCCTAGATCCATGTGGCCGCCCGCTCAGTAGCGCACATGCTGAATAGGATCGAATCGATTCGAAACTCTCCGTGTCCTAAGGGCCCCTACGTCGGTGCTCCTATAGGTTCCCTACTGTTTAGGCGTGTTTTGTTACGGCCCCCGCAAAGGCCTCAAAAAGAGGTGTCCCAAACTTCGCAAAACATCACAGACATCGCAATTTGTGCATGCTTTTGCATGCTATCGGGTCTAGCGGCTCCATGCTACTTTGAGACAGGCTTGCTTGCACCGTGGATGCAAGCATAAGGACATGATGAGAGCGGTGGCTACAAAAAATACTGCATTGGAAAGCTTCTGAATAACGGAAGAGCCACACTTTCAGCATATTCATGTTCACTTCAACCCCGCCCCCCCCCCCCCCCCCCCCAAGTGAAGCAACTGCAGGCCCATGTGTCTATGTTTGCCAATGTGTGCAGACAGCATGTCTAACTCTTTCGGCCCACCAACCAGGAAGACACGGATTCCAGTCGGCATCCGGATGAGATGGTCACTGTTTCCGCTACAAGCAAAAACATCGACGCCCATCACTTTACATCACTTTTGCCATCTTTTGCCGGGTGGACATGAAGAACATGACTCGCCATTGTTGGGCTTGATGGGACATTTGAACATTCCGCCGCCTTCTCGCGCGAGGCCATTGACTCACCCAGGAGAGGACCAAGGAAGTAGAAAAGGCCAGCGACCAGGATGGAGATATTGACCAGATTGATGTCCTGGAGCATACCGCAAAATTACGCAAAATACAGAAGCAGCTCTGTGGGGAGCTGAGGCTCCGAGTTGAGACCAATCGCGGATGTCATGTCCTGTTGCCTAGCGGCCCTTTAAGCACTTCATGCCGGCTAATTACCCTACCATTTGCTGATTGTTGCCTAAAAATAACGGACAGCAAACATTGTTGCCTAAAGCAGACCCTATGGTTCTCTTAGGAGAGCTACATGGTCATTAATATGGGCCCTTACCTTCGTCGAAGGGTTCTGAAGTATGGCCCTTGGGTTTTAC